TCATTGTAGTCCCTATACACAGGGACCCAAACAAGGGTAATATCAGACAGGCGACCCAGCCTGGACAGATCTTTGTTACATTGTCTGACAGGTAGGGAAGAGGTAGTGTAAGAGTTTAGTGATAGATGTGCCGCTTGGCTATCGACAAAAAGTCCTACGTTGCCGCGAAAATTAAGGTCGTATAGTACCCTACGGGTTAACATCATCGCAAATATTTCAGCCTGAAAAACACTATAGTTATTGGGAAGATAGCAGTTCGTTTTAAAACCTACACCACTCGTTCCTGGAAGAAACTCTGGTTTTGAAAACTCCAATAATGTCCGTGTGTACACCACATAGAGTCAGATGGTTGGCTGAAGACTGAAGGCATTAAGCTGAAAATAATAGCATGTCCGGGAAGAAGAAAAGTATGGGAGGATGGAAGAGCCAGAAAGACATCCTCAGAGCAGTAGATTCAAGTCGGAAGTAGCAGGTACTGAAAAGTCTATGCAAAATCGCTGGTAGAAGTTGGCGTTTAAGTTGGCTGAAAGGAGAATGGTTGCAGACAAAAAGAGAAAACATATCAGGGTGTGCAGCAACCTCGACCACCTACATACATATGTATATCAGAAGAATCTTTAATAAAGTGGTGCAAGACCACTTTCCAATGGCTCTGGAAAATGGCTAAACGTGTTCATTAGTTGTGAGATTTATCGGGTATACAGAGTAAAAAGTGCATGAACGTATTATAGCTATTTGCCATTGCAATAAGGATATGAATGTTGTTACTACAGTTTCTTTTATTATTATCGAGGGTCTAACATCTTTAACGGAAAGAGCACTCATGTATGTATCAAATCTTCAGTGCAGATTCTTTCAACCAAGAGAAAATTATTCTCTTACCTATGAAAATTATTAACCGAGCAAGAACTTAGAACTGTTTGATATGCAGACGACCTTTCCAAGGGGGAATGATTCAAATTACTTGTGTCGAAAGGCTTAAGATGCTCTGAATACGGTCTTGAACTGGGTTCAGCGGAGAGGCCACAATATTAACCAGGAAAGAAGAAAGACGATTTATATATTTATTGAATCCTATTTCCTAGGCTAGAAGATTGACCAGTGACCGACAGAGTTAAGTACAAAGGTTTAATCCATGAAAATGGTGGCACTACATAGAGAATAAGATCAGCAACGCATATCGGTGATGGGCGCATTGAAAGAAAAATGGCATACAACGGAGCCTTAGTCCAACTACGACAAATTGGCTTTATAAAAGTGTAATTAGACCAATTTCAGCTAAGCACACTTTTTGTCCAAAGACGTCTACCAGGTCTTTGGACAAAAAGTGTGATATCAAACTACTACAGGGAGTTCACCGTACATACTGCTTGGGTATAAGTGGTGCTATGGGAAATACGTCATTCCACCCATTTAAACATAAATAAGATCTCATAACTTTAGGCCAAATGATCAAAGCCAGTTTTTTGAAACGCCATTAATGTATATTGGATACATTGGAATGCTATACAGATATAGGTATCACGCTAATCTGGAGTAGTCGGCAACGTAAGAGCGAATGTACTAGCTCTGAAGCAAAGGTTGCTCAAGGAAGGCAATTAGGGAGATATCAGGTGATAAAGTTAAATTTAAGACCGTTTTGGATTGTAAGAGGGTTTTGACAGAACACTATCCCAGAGGTAAGGTTTACATCATATGGATACCAGGCCACTCGCGAGTAGTCGGCTACCAAAGAACGAATGTTCTAGCTCTAAAGCGAAAGTTTGCTCGAGGAAGTTAACCTGACGTACGCAAAACTATTCGACGAAACGAGGACTGAATTCAAAATGTGGGTGAGAGTATCGCATAAAGCCTCTTACAATAATGAAACGGTGGGTACGACCTAAAAGATCCTAAGGGGTAACCCTAACGAGAGCAGGACCAAAAGCCTTCTCAAAATCATCAAGTCTGGGGTTAGTATAATGGTACATCTTCTGAGTGGACATACAGAATTGGACGTGCGAATTCAGATGAATGCAGAGCATGTATAAACTCTGGAGCACTTTCTTTACCATTGTCAGGCTTTTGTAGAAATTAGCTTCAACTATCTTGGTTGTGATATTATTCTGGAAATAACATTCCTCACACACACTGATTGGAAAATTCTTAGGAATTCCGTGCAGGAAACAGAGTTTCTGAACACCAAATGATAATATATTCATTGAATACTGTAATAAGTTATCAGTACGACATGATCGATAGCTATCGATCAGCTTCTGCTTTCTAAATCCGTAGAGAAACTTAAAATCGGTTCAAATTTAACTATGTTACTGACTTATAAGTGCCTAAAGATAATAAACTCGTTTTTTTTTACCCGTAACTCAAGATTTTGGAGGTGTTTGGCAAATTTCAAAAACATTTTCTTATTCTACTCGGATCCACCTTTCAGAAAAATAGTGTCACTTCCCAGGTATTTCAATTTTCGTTTATTTTGTCCCACTGTGTTATGTATTAATATGTATGTATTTCTTTGGATTCAACTAAGAGTTAATCTAAATATATTCAAGAGTTTCAGAAGAATTTGGATATACCATTCATTTTTTGATTCTTTCAATAAGACTATAAATTCATACGTATACTATTCATGGGTCAATTTTCGTTTGCTTAAAGTATTCCTATTAATAACTCTGGAAGTTTTGGTTATTTCACACAGAACTCTTGTATGTCAACTCAATAATAGGCAGTAGTTTCAAAATTGATCTCTGACGATTGAAATCGAGAGTTCCACTCTTCGCAATTGATTCGTAGTTTGATTCCTTTCCACTTTTATTAGGAACCAAGTGTAGTTTAGTCCTGCTGAGAGTCAAAGAGCTGGATATTCTATAAGTATTTTATTTTTTATTCATCAAATGAAAAATTGAAGAACGAATTCGATTGTCAATTTTGGATACGCTGTTCAGCAATGAAATGTTTTCCAGATAGAGCATTCTTTATCAATCGAAAGGAATAGTAGTCGGGGGAAGGTATGTTCTTCTTTCTAATCCGTTTTTCTGGTCGTTTTTCGGCCAATTGAAACGAATCAGTTGCACTAGGCACAGGTTCCCTATGTCAGTCTGGATAGATTACAAGAGCTTTTGATACCTTAGCACATTGATTTTAGTGTCAATTCAGTTGGTGGGCCGAGCTTCACATTTCTGATATTGTTTTTCAACACAAATAACGATTCGATATAAAATCATTTTTTAAGGTCTGTCGGCTGCAGTTCGTATGATACCCAATGGTCCATCTTTTGAATGTATTATGTTGATCGCAATTGTTTTAAAATTGCCGCTTGAGTTGCTCCCAATGACTACAATGTTCATGGAGTATTGAATTCAAAGTAGCAAGTATTCAGGTATTATGCAAACTAAATGAGGCTAAGAATCTGAGGCGTTCTAGCTACATTCTCTATCTTATTTCACTCTAATTAAAACAAGTAAGAGTGTTATATTGGGCTATGCCGAATCTTATATACCCACCATCAAATCACTGCCATATAAAAAAACTTTGATATTTTGAATATTTTATTATTATATATCGATATTAATGAGAACATCAGGGTAATATTTGAAAGAGGTCCATTAATGGGTGACGTTTAAGTGACTTTCTGATGGGGACCTTAAATGAAGGGTAGGGTCAATTATGACCGATCCCCACAAAATTTTGTAGAGAGATGTTAGCTCATACAAAACTATATCGAATTTCATCGCTTTAGTCGTTTTTTTAGGCCAGTAATGTGCGTTAAAGTAATTTTCTGTTGGGGACCTTATATGGGGGATAGGGTCATTTAAGACCCGATCCGCATACAATTTGGTGTGAAAGATACTTATTTACGTCAAATTTCTTCTCAATACTCGTCATTTTCTGAAGGGGACCTTATATGGGGGGTAGGGCCAAATATGGACCGATCCACATAAAATTTGGTAGAAAGATTTTGGCTCACATAAGACTTACTTCTGTGAAATTTCATCGCTATACTCGCATTTTTAAGCCAGTAAAGAGCGTTAAAGTAATTTTATGGAGGGGACCTTATATGGGTGGTAGGGTCAATTATGGACCGATCCACATAAAATTTGGTGGAGAGATTTGCACCCATATAAAACATACTTACGTCAAATTTCATCGCTATACTCGTATTTTTACGCCTATAATGAGCGTTAAAGTAATTTTCTGAAGGTGACCTTATATGGGGGGTAGGGTCAATTATGGACCGATCCACATATAGTTTGGTGGATGGATATTGGCTTGCATGAAACCTATGTGTGTCAAATTTCATCGCTATATTCGTATGTTAAAGCCAGTAATCAGCATTTTAGTCATTTTCAAAAGGGGACCTTATATGGGGGGTAGGGCCTATTGTGGTCCTATGTCCGCCATAATTCAGAACTTTATTTGGGAAGTCAAAAAACTGGCTTTGTGGCATTTGCTTCAAAAACAACGAATTTGTGAATGTTTGAAGCTTTTTACACAATATTCCGGGGGGTACATTTGTATGGGGGCTATGTGAAATCTTTGACCGATTTTGTCCATTTTCAATACCAAACATTTCTGATCAATAAAAAATATTTTGGGAAAATTTCATTTCAATATCTATTTTTTTGTGGACGCTATCGTGCCAACAACAGACAGACGGGCGGACATAGCTAGATCGTCTTAGAATCCTACGAGGTCCCAGAATATATATACTTAATGGGGTCTGTGAACAATATTTCGATGTGTTACACACGGAATGACAAAATCAATATACCCCCATCTTTTTTGATGGTGGGTATAAAAACAACATACACATTTGTTTTAATTTGATTTTAATTATTTTTATTGAATTTTTTTTCTTTTATATTTTATTTAATTTATTATTTTTGTTTGTGTGTGTTTTTTTAAAATACATATGTACGTTCAATTAGTTTATATTTATACTTAAATAAATTATTGAAAAAAAAAAACATTTACAATGTACAATATTTTTCTTTAGTTTTACGTTATTTAATATTTGGACAATAAAGTGTGTGTGTGTTTTTTTTAGTAATTAATTATTTAATAAATAATTCAAATATTTTACAATAATGCTTAACTAACATCACTAGCTTTTAGTTTCACAAAATAGAAAACAAAAATTAAATTAAATAAAAATACAATTTTAAAACAAAAATATCTATTAAGATAAGTGTAATATATGTTTTGTATTTGACTGAATTGTTATGAATTGCAAAAAAGAAAATTTTAATATTTAAAAAATTTTAGGTTTTTGTTGTAAATTTACTTCTACTATGGATGTGAAGAACCCATGCGGGGACCATAAAGCGAGTAGGGAGAGAAATATTGAGCTAAAGCAGGATGTTGTTGCATTTGCAGACTGGCCAATGAACCAGGCGGTGCACCGGCTAGAGAAGGTGGTAACATGGACGGTTTGCCGTAGGGATGATAGCGGGCCGCTGATAGAGGACTTAACGGGGGTGTGGGATATGTACGTTGAAACAGAGGATGATTTGGCGGTATGCCACCTTGAGCGGCGGCAGTCAAAACAGATTCGGGTAGCGAAGCGGTGTGTGTACGTAAATGTTGAAACAGTTCATCGGAGGTGGCAAAACGTTTGCCACAATACGGTGTATCGCCACCTATCCAAGAACAAACATAAGGCATTTGTGAAGCAGCTGCCAAAGCAGCCAATTGAGCATGATATGAAGAAGCGGCAGCAGCAGCTGCAGCGGCACTAGATGAACTGCCAGTAGATTTACCCTCCCTTTCACACTGGGGACAGCCAGCTGGACAGGGTTGACCAGCGGCTTTATTCAGGAAATGAGGACTGGAGGGACAGCCGGTACAATAAGGATCCCGACATATATTTGGCGGCATATCTAGACCTTTCAGTCTTGCATAATTCAAATAAGGATTCAAAGCAGCAGCCTTAAACATGGGATGATGAGGAGACATTAAAGCACTAGCCGCCATTAAATCCATGGGATAGGACATGCTGGCGGGATAACCCGGATAGTAGGAAGCTGCTGCACTACTATTACCCTGTCCAGCAGCTGCAGCTGCCTGTAAAGCTTTCACATAACTAGCCTCTTTGGAAGCGGCAGCATAAGCAGCTTCTGAAGTGGCCTGTAGTCTAGTTGATGTTGCAGCGGTGGTGGTGGAATGTGTAGGACTAGTTGCTGACATAGTAGTGGTGGCGGAAGCTACACTACTACCACCACCACCATTCATTGCTGTTTCTTTGGCTTTTTGATGAGCTGGACTATTTTGACTTCTAACTTGAGAGTGATGCTGCGACTGTTGTTGTTGCTGCTGCTGCTGGTGATGCTGTGACGTTGTTAATTCCTGTTGACTGGTTACTAAGGAAGGAGTTCTTCTCAGACCACCATTTATAGCCGGTGAATCACCTCTTTGTGAACTGGCCGACTGATTGGAATCACAGCGATTTTGTAAACCATTTTGTCCTAAACTATTACTACTAGTTTTTGGTGTTTTCACTCTATTTTGACTATGGCTTTGTGTTAGATTCGTTGCCTGCTCGTTGTCATTATCTAAACGCTCACGTATGTGATTGTTATTGGTTTCATAGGGTTTAAAACTACATTTTATGGGCTGTTGCTGTTGTGTAGGCTGTTGCTGTTGTTGCTGCTGCTGCTGCTCTACCGAACCCGTTGATACCGATGAATGACTACTGAGCGGTGATGATTTGTCACGATTATCCAGTGATGAGGAAGATGATGATTTATGAGCTTTGGTGGCCTTTTCTATATTTGCTGCCAGCAATTTGGGATTTGTGGTATCGGCACCAATTGCACTGCATGTTTGAGCCAGCAGTGCCAAAGGACTGCTTTTGGTATCCAGCTGGAAATAAAAGAGGAAAAGGGGGTTAATTAATCAATCAATTAATTAAGAACTGCACTAGAACTCAACTAGTTCAAGATTTATTCTATATAAAAAAGAGGAAATAAGGCACCTAATAGCACAGAATGGCGTCGAAGTTTTCATTTAATTACACATAAACCTTGATATGTTTATAGTATGTATGTAGATTCTACGTGTAGAGTCCACATACCTAATCATGGGCCTGCAAAGCGGACCGGGCATCACTAGATGTCAACAATTGCAAATTTTTACGATTAAATTATTTGTATATTGTTTATTGTATTGACTTTGTTTTGTAATTAGATTTATGATTTACTTTCAGTGATATTCGTGTGTGTGTGTGTAGGCCTTATAAATACTATAAGTAAACTTTTATTATAAGACTGTTTACTGTTAATATAAGTTTAAGTATTTCATTATTAAAAAAAAAACAAATTTTAATTTATTTGTTTATTAGGCTGGCCATTAAAAATTCGCTTATCTTTAGTGGGTTAGCGTTTAATGGGTGGGTCATAAATTTTAATAGACTTAAATGACATTTCATGTTAATAAATAAAAAGTTGTACAGTTTATTTGTTTAGTATTTAATAACTGCTAACGGGGGTTTGACAATTGCAATCGGCGGTACTTTTTCAAAAGCATTTAAAAAAGAGTGGGACAAAAATTAACGGTTTGTTTGAAGAGAATTTTGTTCTAGTTCAGGTTCAGTTCTAGTTCATTTCTAGTTTTAGTTCAGCTCTAGTTCTGTTCTAGTTCCGTTCTAGTTCTGTTAGTTCTGTTCTAGTTCTGTTCTAGTTCTGTTCTAGTTCTGTTCTAGTTCTGTTCTAGTTCTGTTCTAGTTCTGTTCTAGTTCTGTTCTAGTTCTGTTCTAGTTCTGTTCTAGTTCTGTTCTAGTTCTGTTCTAGTTCTGTTCTAGTTCTGTGCTAGTTCTGTTCTAGTTCTGTTCTAGTTCTGTTCTAGTTCTGTTCCAGTTCTGTTCTAGTTCTGTTCTAGTTCTGTTCTAGTTCTGTTCTAGTTCTGTTCTAGTTCTGTTCTAGTTCAGTTCCTAGTTCAGTTCTAGTTCAGTTCTAGTTCTGTTCTAGTTCTGTTCTAGTTCTGTTCTAGTTCTGTTCTAGTTCTGTTCTAGTTCTGTTCTAGTTCTGTTCTAGATCTGTTCTAGTTCTGTTCTAGTTCTGTTCTAGTTCTGTCTAGTTTGTTCTAGTTCTGTTCTAGTTCTGTTCTAGTTCTGTTCTAGTTCTGTTCTAGTTCTAGTTCTGTTCTAGTTCTGTTCTAGTTCTGTTCTAGTTCTGTTCTAGTTCTGTTCTAGTTCTGTTCTAGTTCTGTTCTAGTTCTGTTCTAGTTCTGTTCTAGTTCTGTTCTAGTTCTGTTCTAGTTCTGTTCTAGTTCTGTTCTAGTTCTGTTCTAGTTCTGTTCTAGTTCTGTTCTAGTTCTGTTCTAGTTCTGTTCTAGTTCTGTTCTAGTTCTGTTCTAGTTCTGTTCTAGTTCTGTTCTAGTTCTGTTCTAGTTCTGTTCTAGTTCTGTTCTAGTTCTGTTCTAGTTCTGTTCTAGTTCTGTTCTAGTTCTGTTCTAGTTCTGTTCTAGTTCTGTTCTAGTTCTGTTCTAGTTCTGTTCTAGTTCTGTTCTAGTTCTGTTCTAGTTCTGTTCTAGTTCTGTTCTAGTTCTGTTCTAGTTCTGTTCTAGTTCTGTTCTAGTTCTGTTCTAGTTCTGTTCTAGTTCTGTTCTAGTTCTGTTCTAGTTCTGTTCTAGTTCTGTTCTAGTTCTGTTCTAGTTCTGTTCTAGTTCTGTTCTAGTTCTGTTCTAGTTCTGTTCTAGTTCTGTTCTAGTTCTGTTCTAGTTCTGTTCTAGTTCTGTTCTAGTTCTGTTCTAGTTCTGTTCTAGTTCTGTTCTGTTCTAGTCCTGTTCTAGTTCTGTTCTAGTTCTGTTCTAGTTCTGTTCTAGTTCTGTTCTAGTTCTGTTCTAGTTCTGTTCTAGTTCTGTTCTAGTTCTGTTCTAGTTCTGTTCTAGTTCTGTTCTAGTTCTGTTCTAGTTCTGTTCTAGTTCTGTTCTAGTTCTGTTCTAGTTCTGTTCTAGTTCTGTTCTAGTTCTGTTCTAGTTCTGTTCTAGTTCTGTTCTAGTTCTGTTCTAGTTCTGTTCTAGTTCTGTTCTAGTTATGTTCTAGTTCTGTTCTAGTTCCGTTCTAGTTCTGTTCTAGTTCTGTTCTAGTTCAGTTCTAGTTCAGTTCTAGTTCAGTTCTAGTTCAGTTCTAGTTCAGTTCAGTTCTAGTTCAGTTCTAGTTCAGTTCTAGTTCAGTTCTAGTTCAGTTCTAGTTCAGTTCTAGTTCAGTTCTAGTTCTAGTTTAGTTCTAGTTCAGTTCTAGTTCTGTTCTAGTTCTGTTCTAGTTCTAGTTCTGTTCTAGTTCTAGTTCTGTTCTAGTTCTGTTCTAGTTCTGTTCTAGTTCTGTTCTAGTTCTGTTCTAGTTCTGTTCTAGTTCTGTTCTAGTTCTGTTCTAGTTCTGTTCTAGTTCTGTTCTAGTTCTGTTCTAGTTCTGTTCTAGTTCTGTTCTAGTTCTGTTCTAGTTCTGTTCTAGTTCTGTTCTAGTTCTGTTCTAGTTCAGTTCTAGTTCAGTTCTAGTTCTGTTCTAGTTCTGTTCTAGTTCAGTTCTAGTTCTGTTCTAGTTCTGTTCTAGTTCAGTACTAGTTCAGTTCTAGTTCAGTTCTAGTTCAGTTCTAGTTCAGTTCTAGTTCAGTTCTAGTTCAGTTCTAGTTCTAGTTCAGTTCTAGTTCAGTTCTAGTTCAGTTCTAGTTCAGTTCTAGTTCAGTTCTAGTTCAGTTCTAGTTCAGTTCTAGTTCTGTTCTAGTTCTGTTCTAGTTCTGTTCTAGTTCTGTTCTAGTTCTGTTCTAGTTCTGTTCTAGTTCTGTTCTAGTTCTGTTCTAGTTCTGTTCTAGTTCTGTTCTAGTTCTGTTCTAGTTCTGTTCTAGTTCAGTTCTAGTTCAGTTCTAGTTCAGTTCTAGTTCAGTTCTAGTTCAGTTCTAGTTCAGTTCTAGTTCAGTTCTAGTTCAGTTCTAGTTCAGTTCTAGTTCAGTTCTAGTTCAGTTCTAGTTCAGTTCTAGTTCAGTTCTAGTTCAGTTCTAGTTCAGTTCTAGTTCAGTTCTAGTTCAGTTCTAGTTCAGTTCTAGTTCAGTTCTAGTTCAGTTCTAGTTCAGTTCTAGTTCAGTTCTAGTTCAGTTCTAGTTCAGTTCTAGTTCAGTTCTAGTTCAGTTCTAGTTCAGTTCTAGTTCAGTTCTAGTTCAGTTCAGTTCTAGTTCAGTTCTAGTTCAGTTCTAGTTCAGTTCTAGTTCAGTTCTAGTTCAGTTCTAGTTCAGTTCTTGTTCAGTTGAAAACTAAGTTATTTTACGATTCTTCAAAAATTTTAAATGACCCTCCTAAAAAAAAATTTATATACAGTTCCCTTAACTGGCAAAACGTGACTACATAACCAACAACTAGTATTTATTCACTTAATCACACCCTTAAAAATAAACACTGAGCAAACTGAACAACAAAATCTAAATCATAAAAAATTGTTTTACAACATCAACCATAAAAACACTCGTCATATTCTTGGGAAAAATACAACAACAGTAATATAATATTTAGTGTCAATTTAATCTTTCTTTTGAGTCATAATTCTGACAGTTTAGAAGTTATAAACACAAAGTTTACGATTTCATGCGTAAATCCATAATACATACACAGAAAAACAGTAATTTTCAATGTTTGATTATCAAGTTCATTTTGGGGTCTAACTTTATTTATGTTTATGTGAATACGAATACATATAAGAGGAATGGGTCTGGTGTAGCGATAAGAAATTTATGACTTTTTACGCTAATGTCATTGGTACTTTATGATTCTTATAGCCAAATTACTTTTGTTTATAGCTGTTGTTGTTTATTGGCAGATTTTGATGGAGACTGATTTAAAGAAATTTTTAAACTTTTCAATTGTTTTCTATATATAGAGAAATTGTGAATAATTTTCTATAAACAGAACATTTATAAAAAAATTTTATATCAAATGTATCGAAATTTGTCCCCGACAGAAATATTCAAAATGTTTTTCTTTTCCATTCACCAAAATAGTTCCTTTTGGTTTTAAAGTTAAGATTCTTAGAGTGTCACAGAAATATGCAGCATATTTATCATAAAGCTATAATTTTTTTATGATATTTTCGCTGCCTCTGCTGCTGCTCTAAAGCGGGAAGTATGTATGTATTGTTGGTATCAAAAGCGTTTTTAGCGTCATCATGACTCGTAACTCATTTACTGCATATAATTTTATTTAATGTTCTGGTGTTGCGAATTTTTATTACCATTAAGTACCCAGACACTTTGTTATTGTTGGATTATTTTCGGTTTTATATTTTTGTTTTCTTCCTTTTAGAGTAGCAGCACCACAAGAGCTAGATAAAGTGGAGATAATGGGGGAGCATTGTTGTATTGCTGTGGAGTGTAACTGGGTACTTGTACATCCATACGAACAACAATGGTTTCAGTTTTTATGTTTTTATTTGTTTGTTAATTTATGACGCAATTATTTTATACTTTTTTTTTTTGGTACATACTTCTTCTTGTGCGAATATATAGATTGTATGTATTTATGGATAAGTCACAAAATTTATGACTTAATGTATTTTCATGGCTTTTGTAGCAAATAGCTTACAGAGAAAGGAAGATTTGTAGTCATATACAAAAAAAAAAAACAGAAATAAATAAATTTGTTATATCAGCAATTTATATCTTAATGTTGAGTTTTTATGTATTTAAGTGTTGTTTATCAAAGCGATACTAAAAATTATGGTCTTGAGATGTGTATCCATGTAAATTTTGTTCCAAAAGATGATAATAACTAACTGCTCAGTTCTAGTTCGATTCTAGTTCAGTTCTAGGTCAGTTCTAGTTCAGTTCTAGTTCAGTTCTAGTTCAGTTCTAGTTCAGTTCTAGTTCAGTTCTAGTTCAGTT